CTGGTTCTTTTTTGGCCAGCACCCGATGAACCAGAGTGCAGGTTTGGATCCTGCATACGGCTGCTGAGGGCAAAAGACCGGCAGTTTTTTTCAAATTCAGATATATGATCGCGTTTCCGCAGACCATATATAAATCTTACTGCGGTGTTCTGAAGTTTTTGAATCCTTTCCATGCCCTCATTTGTGATGCTGTTGCCATATGGAAAACAGTAGTAGAGCACTGACAAGACAATTGATTGGACCAGCTGAATTTTGGCTGACTCAGGTAGGATGGTTCGGCATTTGTACAGACCCCGCAATCTACCCAACGCCAGCTGGGAAACATGGGTGATATGATCAGAAAAAGTAAGACCACTGTCCAGTACTACGCCCAAAGTCCTGGCAGTGTGGCTCACCTTCAACTCCACGTCATCAAGTTTTACCTGCACGTCTCCATCAATGATCAATTGAACATAGTTGGGCGGAGCAATATGAAGAACAGTGCATTTTTCTCGGTTTAACTTGAGACCATGCTTCATGGACCACTCACTGACATTCGCCAAATCCAAGTTCATCCTCGCAACAGCTTGGTCAATTGAATTGACATCATAGGATAAATGCATCTGACAATCGTCTGCATAGGCGTGCACGTTGCAGAAGTGCACGCAATTGGATATGTCTGCAGTGTACAAGGTGAATAAAATGGGACCCAGACAGCTTCCCTGCGGCACTCCCCTGACTTTGACAAGGGGAAGTGAAACATCAGCTCCCACTCTAGTCACCTGTTCTCTTTTTTCCAAGTACGACTGCATCCAAGCAACTGCATTATCCATAAAACCAAGATGTATCAATTTAGCGAGAAGTAAACTGTGGCTTATAGAGTCAAACACCTGTGAATAGTCAAGCATGACAACAGAGCTACACCTGCCCCGATCCCTTGCCTCAAACAAGTCTGCAAACATATTCACTAATGCAGTGCAGGTACTGTGGTTTCTTCTAAACCCTGACTGTAATTTTGGAAGTATTTGTTCTTTTTCTAAATGTTCTAGGATTTGTTTTATTGCTAATTTTTCCAATACTTTTGATATCGCTGGCAAGACAGATATAGGTCTAAGCTCACTGAAGTCAGAAGGATTAGATTTTTTTGGCAATGGATGGACTATACTAGTTTTCCATGTCTGAGGAAATTTGCCTGATACTAATGATTCATTCATCAAGTGAGTCAAGGCACCAATTGCGTAAGGACAAACTGCTTTAATCATTAAAATACTCAAGTCGTCAACTCCAACTGCTCTAGAGGTTATTTCATTTATCGCCATTTTAACATCCTTCTCTGAGACCTTTTTAAAGGTAAATAAATTAGTTATCCCTTTCTTCCTTTCTTTGTTATAAGAACTAATTAAGTCTGTGTCTGCATCAAAAAAACATCCCATTTTAACAAAGTAATCATTCATGTCGTCAACTTTAAAAGTATTTGGGAGTTGTGTATTACGGGTTTTCCCAATTACATCACTCTGTTTTAAACATTTCCAAAATTTTCTCGAATCTTTACAGTCTGTAAGGTTATCAGTAAAATATTTCTTTTTTGCCTTCCATATTACACCATTTAGTCTATTTCTAATTATCTTATACTCCGTCCAATCCTTATCTTGTCTAGTTTTCCTATACTTAGTTCTAAGTTTATTTTTTAATTTTGTTAACATGATCACTTCTACATTTCTCCAAGGTGATTTTCTCCTCGTAACTCGTTTTGTTACTAGAGGTGCTAATGTGTCATAAATGTCTTTCACATTGCTCGTAATAAATTCATTTATACAATCTACTCCAGTCATGTATTTTACTTTTTCCCACTCTACACTTGCCAGTCTGGTAATCGAATCAGTAACGTCAAAATGTTTAAAATCTCTATAAGTAATTAATTTCGCTGAGCTTTTTTCTTGTTTGCATTTTAACATACAGTAAATTAACTTATGGTCAGTGATTTTCTTTTTCCTGTAATCTAAAATACTTGACGCATCAATTACGCCACACATATCCAGTTGAGTTGATTTATTAGTGATAATATGATCAATTAGTGTGGCTGACTTGGCAGTGACTCTTGTGGGTTCAGTTATGTGTTGGACAGTGTCATATATTTTCAGCAGACGACGGAAATGTTTCGCTTCATAACAGGAAGTTGATAGCAAATCAATGTTTGTATCACCTAAACATATGACGGAGTCAATTTCAGCTGCAATGTCTACAAATAATGCCCGAAACAAGGAACCAAGACAAGTATAGCTAATTTGCGGTGGTCTGTACACAATGGCTACGGCGAGTTTAGCACCTTTTGTTTGAAGGACCACCGAGATAAATTCTATGCCTGGATCGACTCCTGTTAACTCCCTTCTTTGGAAGATCAAGCCTTGCTTAATGTACAGGGCAACACCTCCACCTCCTTTTCCAGCTCTGTCAGCCCTGAGGAGTACGTATCCAGGTATCTCATAGTGATCAGAAGGTGAACCCGGCTTAAGCCAAGCTTCAGAAATACCAAACACATCAAAATCAAAGTCAATTGCCAGTGCAGTCATCTCATAGAAACCTGTGTTTAGAGAGCGCATATTTAAATGAGCGATACACAGGTTTCTATTATTTCGTTTCCCGACAACTGGGGAGGGGCCGAACTTGAAGAGCCTAGACCCTCCCCAACCCTACAGTGAGAAGTTGGCTTCTCACTGTGAGGCAGGGGAGACTCCATGCTCAGGCCCGACGCCAGTGCCGGATCAACTGATTTGTGGGTAGCATGTGCTGCCGAGCCTCCAATCATGCGGAGAGACGCAGGAATCACCGCTTTAAATAAGGAGACCAGACGCGACACACCACCCCTGTTAAGGTGTCTCCCATCACGAGCGAGGTGTCTCCGCGCAACCCAACAGTTAGCCTCCACGTACATGACATTAAAATTGTTGCACATAAGGTCAAGTTGCGTATTAAAATCATAAAGAGCTTTGTATGTGATATCAGACCGAATTATTACGCTGTTTACATAAACTTTAGAATTTGGAAAATTTGTTTTTACAGTAAACAGCAAATCAGCCATGTCGTGGAGAGCCTCCCGCTTGCCGTGACCTCCGTTGTAGCCAGGACCTCCCCTGTAACCCACCCTCAGGTTGTTCGTGCCGACATGAATATGTATTATATCTAGATCACTATTTACATATTTCAACAACACATTTTTTAGGTGATGGATCCGAGCACCTGGGTGACATTCCACAATGGCCCCTTTCTTAACAAAATCAGAACAAGCATGTCGTATCATAGAGTCACCTACAATCAAAACATTTCTAAAACAAAATTCATCACTAGTTTCAACAAGATTTGTCAACTTTGGGTTGGTAGGTGTTGAACACTTACTCTGCTCAGATTGTTTACTTACTTTTAGATTTTTTCTGGCACGAACACCTGAGGCACCCTTAACATTAACATAATTAACTCGTGAACTGTCTTTCTCAAAGGTAGATTTAGTGTTTACTCTGGTCTCATGATTAGAACTAGTATTTGTATCTGGTTGTAAATCACCAAACAAAGTGTTGTTTGTATCAACATCAACAGAGTCACTAATAGACAAAACTTCAAACCTGTAATAATTGTTACAATAATAATTAATTAATTAATTAATAATTTAAACAGAAGGAAGTTTAACTTTCAATCCCCAAGGCTTAATAAATAGCCCAATAAGTAATGAATTAACAAACACATATACTCTATTTACAAGGATTTATAAGGGCTAGGTCGACTTGTCCTATAATTTACATAATTATGAGTGAATAAAAACCCATATGCAAACATACTTATATGAACGTAAAAAAAAAATATTAGACTGTTTTACTACAGAAAATTTACGCCCTTCTTGGTTGAGTACTATACATTTTTACCTTAATAAAAAACAATTTTCTAATGAATATTCAATTTCATATTGTACTTCTTATCAAACAGTTTTGTATGAGTATAATCCAAGCACTTCATGTGCCTAGAATTAAGCTATTTTAACTGTAAAGTTTTCTCCTGATTTTTTTTTATGTGCATTCAAATGGCTTAAGCTTATGTACAAAAATGTTGTATGATTGCAAATTAAAATTGTATTCTTTTACTATAACATATTTACCAAATATCAGCTAATGAACAGCTCTATACAGTTTCATAACAGTTTCATAACGGCTCATGAAAGCCTCAATTGAATAAAATAATCAAGATTTTATTTGAACCATAAAAAAATGCAAGATAAATTTAAAGTATACCTTTTTACCAGGTCATTTCGACAACCTATTTCCTTGAAACGCTTGCAGCGAACAGTTGAAATGTTTTTATTCAAGAGTTTCCAAACATCAAAACCGTAATGACATATTGCTTTGAGACGACCTAGTGTGCAGATGTAGAATTCAATTTTGCTTTTATGTTTACATTCTATTACCTTTTCCATTTCAAAAAAATACATCAGAAACAAAACAAATTTGGTTTTAGTAGGTCGTGTCAAAAGCTTATAAATTATTTTATTTTGACATGTATGCTACAGATAAACATTTGACATAAATAAATACAGCGTTGGATAAAATAAATACAAAAGTTGCATCACATCAGTTATCTTTGAGTAGGAATGGAATATTCCTTGGGGCTAGAGACCAGACTGATTCGTTTCATTAGAAGAACCTAAAAAATATAAACATATCAGATAAAACGGATACTAAATTTTTCATATACATTATAGATTTATTTTAATTTTACTATTTAAAATATATACTACAATATCTGCTTGGTTTTTATCAAGGCTATAAAATGCTAGTTTATAGACATACATAAACATATAAGCCATAATATGAAAAATTGCAACACATATTCCATATTTAGGTCTAAGAAACATCTTTCTTGGATTGATCTTAGACGAGAATCTTAAATTTCATGACCATATTAAATACATTTCAAAAAAACTCAGTTCTGGTATCTTCGTTTTACGTAACCTCAGGAACAATGAGAATCTGGAGATAATGTTGACGGCATACTATGTGCTCATTTATCCCCACTTAGCATACGCCGTTCCTATATGGGGATGTGAGTGCCAGCAAACTAAAATGTTGTTTAAACTCCAAAAAATGGCTGTGAGAACTATTTTCTCTCTAAAAAAGCGCAAATCCTGCCGACAATATTTTTTCAGTTCAAAGATTTTGACTTTCCCATCCATTTACATTCTTGAATCTTTAACATTTGTGAAACAGGAATTTTCTAAATTTGATTTTTCTGTAAAAAACCAATACACATTGCGCAATTCACACACATTAACTATTCCTAAACATTCAACAACCTTCTTCAAGAAACACTTACTGTACAATGTCATAACACTTTTTAATTCACTTCCACTTTTTCTTAAACTTGAACCAAACCTGTTAAAATTTAAAAGACAATTAAAATCTTTGTTGATTAAGTTTACCTGTTATAGCGTCCAAGAATTTACATCTAAACTCAGTTCCATTAATAGTGATGCAAATACTTATATATAAATCTGCACCATTGTATATTGTATAAGATTGTATATTTGTAAATAGTTCTTAAGTATATGAATCCAACTTTTATTTCATTTTGACTTAGCCAATACAACTTGTATATTGTTAATTCTGGCTGAATAAATGATTTGATTTGATTTGATTTGATCTTTATTGAATTTGTATTCGTTAGGTCCAATAATAAACAAGCCATGAACATGTCTCTAGCACAGCACTGTACTCTGGGAGTGGATGAGATGCCGAGGAATGATTAAAGTTATGGAAATTTCATTATTATTAGCTCATAATAATTATGTGTTTTTGGTACATTGGCTAAACTCACCACCCTTAAAGACAATTGATAATAAGGATGTTTGGAGCTTATTGAAAATAACAATTATCATACTCAACTGTAGTCCCTTACCATACCAATTACGTAAATTACAAAATAGTGTTTTAAGTATAAAAACCATATTCAACCATAGCATAAGAAGAAAAATTATTTTTTGAACAAATAATAAAGACTCTGTGGCGAATAAGAAAAGATATACTGTAATAATTGTTAAAAGAAATTAACAACCTAAGAGAGTAACTCTAAGCAGTTTGTAAGACAATAAATTTAAGTTTAATTGCTACATTATAGTCTTACTATAGTAAAATATGATCAATGATAATCATTATAATAGGTATATTTACAAGTATGAAAACAAAAAGTTATAAGTTCAGTCAGTGTTTACAATAGTTTCACATCTATGTCATCCTGAGTGACAAGGCATTTATTCATGTATTTTCGCAACACCAACAATGTTTACAAGAATGCTGAACATTGGTGTTTTGTCAACCAGCAAGAGTGATGTATGGGGTTATGTCCTATTCCGCCCGAGTTTTATTTCGCCCGGAGACTAATTACTCCCAATTCGCCCGCGGTCCCAGATTAACCCCTATAATCCTCCGCTCTACCTGCGTCAGGAGTCCTATTCCATCCACGGTGGCGAAGCCCCGCCTCCTAGGACCCCACCCACCCCCAACTATGTAAAAGCCCTCCCCTACCCATCACCCCGTTATCCACCTCCGACTACACGGTTATTTAAGCTTAAAATATTTATTTGACAACCCAGCCAAACCAAGCGAATAATGTAAAGTTTAAACACGAAGTTTTAAGCATTAAAATATAAAGGGGCATGTGCCCTTATTGATGTAGCCGTTGTAAAGATATGTTAAATCTTTATAATCTGGAACTTTCCTTTGCGTTGAAACGCTTCAACAGTGATATTGATACATGTTTACGACATAACAGATTAATAAAATTTGCTACCTATGTGCTGTTAGTTACTGTATGTTTGTCTCCCTATCCAAAATGTGCAAATAAGCAATTTAATTATATTTTATATTGCGTTTAACGGCAAACAGAAACATATGATAACACTGCTGCAATCCAAGACATGGCCAAACAAAGTCCACTAGTTAGCGGCTTCTAGTGTTAAATACCCAACTGCACACCTTTGAGTTTTCTTTATTATGCAATGTAAAAAATTCACCTATTGGGTTTGATGATGATTGGAGTGTCGAATCGAACTCGATCACCATTTGCTATCTTTTATGTAAATTTATCGTCTGATGAGATAACAGTATGAGAGCGCAAAAGTTTTAAGTGTTATTAGACAATTTTTTTTACTTTTCGTATACAATGTAATGTAGTAGTTTATGCAAGGAATGCGTCAAGATAGTGTCGTTTACTCTGTTTACGCGAGTTGCGTACACTAAGACTAGTAACATTGTTGGTTAACCTAGAAGTAATTGTAATATAATTTCTATCAATGGATTCTTATGTAAAAATGGCTTAAAAAAACTATGGTGAAAAGTCTACTACTCTACGGAGGTGCGTTGGCCTTGTATGAAAGGTTTTTCAAAATGGCTACCGGAAATATTTATGTTTTTAGCCAATAAGTCCTAAACTATTACAGGTAGCTTAAATAAGTAAATGAGTAAATTTTAAAGAATTAAATTGCGCAACTTTGACACTATGAACTATGAACTATGAACTTTTTGACAAACAATTACATGGAATTCAGTTATTTTCCTTGCCTTACAGGTCGTTGTATTGCTTCAATTCCTTTTTCAGTGAGATATGACACCTCACAATCTGTCGTGTATAATTTGTTCACAAATAAATAAAACAGGTTTCGATATTCATTTTTCTATTTTATAATCGTCATACTATGGGGGATTAACATGAAACTAATGAAAGTAAACTAAAAACATGTTAAAATATTAACAACAACAATTAGAACTCTCAGCTGGAACAAAACAATCATTGTTACCAAGTTGAAACCCATAGCTCAAAATTTCCCTTAATTACAATAAGTTATTAAAATTGTTTGACAACATTATTTTCTTGTAAGAATGTAAGTACTTACCTTAACTTAACTTATTATATACCAAAAGTTGCGCAATTTAATTCTTTAAAATTTACTCATTTACTTATTTAAGTTACCTGTAATAGTTTAGGACTTATTGGCTAAAAACATAAATATTTCCGGTAGCCATTTTGAAAAACCTTTCATACAAGGCCAACGCACCTCTGTAGAGTGGTAGACTTTTCACCATAGTTTTTTTTCAGCCATTTTTACATAAGAATCCATTTATAGAAATTATATTACAATTACTTCTAGGTTAACCAACAATGTTACTAGTCTTAGTGTACGCAACTCGCGTAAAAAGAGTAAACGACACTATCTTGACGCATTCCTTGCATAAACTACTACATTACATTGTATACGAAAAGTAAAAAAAAATTGTCTAATAACACTTAAAACTTTTGCGCTCTCATACTGTTATCTCATCAGACGATAAATTTACATAAAAGATAGCAAATGGTGATCGATTTCGATTCGACACTCCAATCATCATCAAACCCAATAGGTGAATTTTTTACATTGCATAATAAAGAAAACTCAAAGGTGTGCAGTTGGGTATTTAACACTAGAAGCCGCTAACTAATGGACTTTGTTTGGCCATGTCTTGGATTGCAGCAGTGTTATCATATGTTTCTGTTTGCCGTTAAACGCAATATTTAAAATAATTAAATTGCTTATTTGCACATTTTGGATAGGGAGACAAACATACAGTAACTAACAGCACATAGGTAGCAAATTTTATTAATCTGTTATGTCGTAAACATGTATCAATATCACTGTTGAAGCGTTTCAACGCAAAGGAAAGTTCCAGATTATAAAGATTTAACATATCTTTACAACGGCTACATCAATAAGGGCACATGCCCCTTTATATTTTAATGCTTAAAACTTCGTGTTTAAACTTTACATTAATATAAAGGAAATTCGCTTGGTTTGTCTGGTTTGTCAAATAAATATTTTAAGCTTAAATAACCGTGTAGTCGGAGGTGGATAACGGGATGATGGGTAGGGGAGGGCTTTTACATAGTTGGGGGTGGGTGGGGTCCTAGGAGGCGGGGCTTCGCCACAGTGGATGGAATAGGACTCCTGACGCAGGTAGAGCGGAGGATTATAGGGGTTAATCTGGGACCGCGGGCGAATTGGGAGTAATTAGGCTCCGGGCGAAATAAAACTCGGGCGGAATAGGACTACACGATGTATGGTGGTCCTAGTGAAAATTATGTTAAGTATTTGTCACTCACTCTATAAGTCAACGCCATGATAAAATACAAACTTGTATTAGACAATTTATGTTAACAGAAAAATATAAACCGGTATGTAAAGTAAAATATAATATACATTAATATCCACTGTGCAGTTAATTATTTATAGTGATTAAAAATACCACAAAAATACACCCACAGCAGCAAATTTGTGATTATGCACATTTTAATATGAATTGTATTTTTACTAAAACATTTCCCCTTCAAGACATATCTATTCTTTCTTTTAAATAACATTGGATATAAAAGGTGCTTAGGTTTGCTGCCACGAGGAAGATAACAGTTTTCATAATTATATAATTTAACTTCTATTATATGAATGAATTTTAGGTCAAGATTAACAGGACATAGAAAATATATTTATGAATTTTATATTAAAGTAACAGATAATTTAGTATTTCAACTTATTATATTCAGGAGAAAATATTAAGACAACGATTTATTAAATTTTTCCTCAAGCAATAAAAACTTGAATTTATTTTCATTGTACTGCAATGGAGGCTGGTATAGCTCAGTTTTAGTAGGTCATAATTTTAAATTTAAAATAATTATTAAATTTAAAACAGATATACAGAAACGGACTGAAATAGACGTAGGAATCCCTCTTCGTGCATTGCAAGTAAAATAATGTTACAGCTAATATTGATAACATTATTTTAACACAACTACATAATTGAAAACAAAATCGTAAAGAGATTTGAAAATGTACTTTCAAACGTCGATACCATCTCTTATCCCTGCATTGGTAACATCAGAAGGATAAGAGACGGGTAATATATTTTGTATACAATTCAACATGCGATGCTTTGTTCAAAGGGATGATTGGCTTGGTCCTCTCTGTGCTAGTGTGATGGAGCCTGAATAGAAACTACCCTGGCAAATAGTACAATTCT